CCTAGACATCCATATGTACCACTAAATCTGGTACATGGCACGTATGGACCATATGTGCGTGAAAAAACCATATGTACGTGAAACTGCGTGAAAATGCCAGGAACCACAATTTTGCACATGTCCTTGGACATCCTATAGTATGTGTTTGAAACTTCCGCTGCTTTAAAAAAGTTGCACTGCAGTACATGAAACAAGGTTTCTTTGGGTGCAGTTTTTTGTGAGTGATTTGCGTTCGCAGCGCCGATCGCCCTGCATGATCAAGTGACCTTATGAACATTTATGAACCGCAACCAATGTACACTACACAAACTAACCATGCTCTAGCACAGTCTAAGATTTCCCTATATACTATGTGTTATAATGACTGTGTACAAAATCAGAAAACAACTTAGTTGATTCTGTTTTCCTTGGGAAGATCCCATAAAACCTATCAAAAGATGCATGCGCAAACATGTACATATGTTTTTTTAGGGCGTGTGGTGGGGCGACGGCGCGACCGGGGGCGGGCCGGCAGCGAGCATGGGCCCTCCAGGAGGCGAGGAAACAGAGACTGTGGGGGAGGTGGGATGGATTGGGAGCCCAGGGATTGTATGGCCATCTGTTTCCAATACAGGTGAGATGTCTAGTGGAAATTTAGTCAACAACAAGTCCAATTTATAGATGAAGTTTTTGCATGTTTTCACTCAATGCCTTGCTGGTTTCAAGCTTTGGCTCAAAATTTTATTCCCATTCCGAGATTGAATGAACATGGCGGGACTGATGCAATGGCGACCTCGATTTGTCACATGGTTGTTGATCACAGTATTTTTTCTTAGTTTTTTCTGGTGTCCCCTGATTGTTTAAACATTGGGAAATGTTTTGCCCTGCAAGACTAGTTTTACTCTTGATTGACCCTGGATCTAAGGGAGGGTTTCCTCCCCCGCACCCGAAGACACCGGCAGCTGGCAGCGCTTTTGGTCTTGTGCCCTCGGCAAAGTATCGCCCTTCAAGCGCATCTAGAATGGAGGAACCTGACAAGAAGGCTGTGGTCCACGCTGTTGAAAATGCTTTGGGAGAGGGGCTGAATAGATTGAAATATTTGAGCCCTTGAGGCAGGGCGATTGAAAATAGATTGAAGTAATGTTGGGTGATTGTTGGATGAACCCCTTCAGGTGTCTGATGATGAGACCTCAGAGGTGCCATCAAGTGGGGCTGGAATGGAGGAAGTGGACAAGTCGCTACCACTGGAAGATATTGAGAAGAAGGCCACGGTAGACCCTGCGCCTGCAATGGCACTTCCGAAGGCCAAGAAGCGACCAGCTGTGTCTTGGGCTTTAAATTTGTAAAACAGTTTTTTGTTTTTTCTGGTGTCCTCTTCACGTGTAGTAGACATGTGCCCAATCAACAACCATCGAGGAGCTGATGGATCCTGAACTATATGCACAGATTAAACGCACCAGGAGAATGTTTGGTAAAGTTGCCCGTGAATTGGAACTTGGGACCTGTTATGAAAGGTTTTGGTGTGTTTTGGTGATGGTTAAATGGGAAAGTGTTATATGATATGTTTGATATATTTCTTCTGACTCTGATTTTGTCTGGTTTGCCCTATACTTGGCTGTGAGGATGAACAAATGACGGATATGCACCTCAAAGTCAAATCTCTGTTTAAATTGGTGGAAGATCTGCCAGGCCCATAGGGTCACAAACCGCTCGCATTGCAACTGTCTATAATATATGGGCGCGCAAAAAAAAATGAGCGCTCAGGCCAGGGAATGTGGGGGTCTCTCTTTAATGTATAGGACCCTTGGAGAACTGTCAAAGGTGTGTTGAGGGCATATTTGAACAGAATGCCAAATTTCAATGTTTCAACATCTCTATGTATACGACAAGTGTTCAATCTCCATGTTGAACCGGGTAGGTGGGTGCATGGTGTGCTTGGGCGACAAAGAACATTTTACTTGTGGGAACTCCATTTTGCTGGCTCCAAATCCTTCCAATGGGGAGTGTTGAATGCTTGCGCCACGTGTGGGGTACCATGTGCTGCGTGATCCAGGCTCATGGCGCGCTGCGCATGGTGCCGGCTCTGATGCTGGCAGTTGCTGGCCATGGTTGGGGGGCCCTAGGCTATTTGGACGCCAAAGGTGGTATGTTTACAGACTGTTTACATATATGTAAGAATCTGGAATAGTGCTATCCACCCTTTGTCCCTGCTATCCACCGCCTCCTTGCTATCCACCCTTTGTCCCTGATTGTGTGCCCGGCCTCAGGCTCTTTGGCTTCTGAAACATGGTACGCCTCCCACGCGCTGGCTGGGAAGTGGCGTGGGTTGTGGAGTGGTCTTTCGAAGGTCTTTGAAAGGTCTCTGAAACATGAGATTTGATGTCATTTCGTATGAGCTGTGTGACTATCACAGAAATTTTGGCCCTGGGTGTGAGGGTATCGATCGAACAGTGCCATCAAACTAGGCTTACAAGGTTCAACTGGATATTTTAAGATCAGTCTGAATATGGTATAGACTGGAAAGCCAACCATTGGACCAATGGACATTATATAAATGGAGGACTATGTGATCTTCACTGCTAATATACAATGTAAACTGTTAAGCCAACCATTGGACACAGTTGGGTGACCACTTGATCTTCACTGCCCAAACTTGTGGCTGTGGGAGCCATTATGGCTACAGATGCGCAAAGAAGTGCTGAGTATGCAAGGGCTTTTGGTGAGCGGCCTCACCTCAAAGAGGTTCATTGGGGCCACAAATGATGTTTTTCTTTTACTTGATAGGGTGAAAGGAACCTATATCCTTTGAATGTGTGAATAGGAAAAGCTTTAAACGTGTTCTTTGGCGCTAACCCTTCAGGTGGGCTTCTCCTTCCTATGCAATGCCACTGGGCGTCTGTTCACCAAGGGACAGATCAGCCTAAGTGATGTGGACGCCAACTATGACCCAATATATTGCGTGATGAAGGTGAGCCATGGGACAGGGAGGTACTCTGCACATCTTTTGAAGGAAGCGATCATCAAGCACTATGAGTGGTGCAAGCTCTATCCATGTGGTATCACTTCATGCATGCAGTGCATACAGGACTGGGCGCTGAAGCTGGGAAAAGCACTTCAACGACTTGTAGCTGGGCTGATCTTTTGAAGTGTTCCCTAATTTGGGCTGTTGATTAGTTGGATTGTTGGGGATATGCTTTCCTGGAAAAAAACTCCTTTGAAACCAATGATCAAATGCCCCATTCTCCAGGTCAGCAGGTTTCGCCGCTTGTACCGGCTTGCAGCCTCCTCCAAGAAGTCCAACATCCGGCGCCTCAAGAAGGATCTGGAGGGCCAAGTGGAACCTGGTCCCTTCATTCATGTTGGCCCACTATGGTTCTGAGTTGCTATAAAAATGTTTTGGAACTCAGGTGAGGTGCACGGTACCTTTGAATGTCCCTATACCACAAAAATGGTTTCAAAAGTTGGCTTCTATTTGATTATCTAAGGACTTTGTTCCTGGGACAGCGCATCTAGATGATGAATCTGAAGAAGAATGTACAGAAGAGAGTTCTTCTGCTTCGGTCGCCACGCTGTCGGAGCTACATCGGTCGGTTCCTGGCACTGTTCATTACATGTTTTTTTTCTTCCCATATTAGTAAACACAGGTGGGTTGGTCTTGTGGGGCATTGATTCACCTTTCTCTATTTTTAGGCTGCTATTGAGAGCACTCTGCCTAAGCTTCCTGGGGCACTGGGTTCTAGTGGCCAACATGGTGATCAGAAGATCATGGATGTGGCCTTGCAATTGAAGGCTGCCAGGGAACACGCTGCCAAAACTTTGCAGAAAAAATCAATTGACACCTAGCTAATTTGGCAGGCAACTTTTGTTTTGATTGAAGTTGGATGGTACCTTTTTTGCCAATAGGGAGTTCTTGAATTGAAATCCATTGGCCGACCACTGTCAGGTCATCTGGTGCAGAGTCCATGGCTGAGAAGCTGGCGAAAGCACTGCAAGAAGTGAGAGGCCAAGCCCAACCTCAGGAAAGCGGCCCTGGTGGTACCCATGTCCTGCCTGCCTTTGCACCATGTCTGATTCGACTCTGTCTTTGTTTTTTTGAATTTGAATACGTGTCCTTTGAGTTAAGTATATAATGGTAATGATTAAGCCGTGATCATTCAGTCTATGTATATATAGATGCATAATGCTTTTCTTTCCACTCGATCAGGTATTGAAGAGCATTCAAAACATTGGTGACACAAAGCCCTTTGCATTGAGCGAGCAATACAAGAGCACATGGAAAAAGCACAAGGCAGATGAGGCAGTTGAGCCTAAGCCCAAGGCAGCTTCCAAGGTGAAGAAACCATCTTCGTCGTCGTCGAACACCGGTACCTCTTCCTGCGGCAGCTCAGGTGTTTATACACCACGGCTCTTTGCTGCCATGAGGGTGGAGTACATGAACAAGCTGAAAGAGGGTGGACTTTCCCATCGTGAAGCTTCTCAGAAGTGGCAGGACTCTGAGGAGAAAAAGAATCTTCTCAAAGACTTGCCTGTTTCTGAACTAATTAGAAGAAGGTTTGTGCCAAAAGGGACTACAACAAACCCTTTTGCTTAGAAACCTGTGTGCAGCTAGCTAGCTAATTTAGGCTGTGCCTATAGCGTCAATTCATGTGGACACGCTTCATGTGTGTCACAAAAGGTCGCCAGTCTACTGTGTTAGGAGGGGTTCATGCTACATATGGCGTACCTGTATATGACATAAACACATATGTCTTTCCAAATGGTAGAGCTGTGATGAGTAGACCATGAGCTGCTACAATCAACACACCGTTCAACCAATTTTTTGTGGTAAGCAAAAACAAGCTGGCTGCGAATGCAATTGCAGTTTTGGGCCTGCTGACATATAGGGTGCTTTGCGGGCGAATCCTGGGCGATGATCCTGGAGCTGACGCAATGGCGTGCACCGCCAGTTCTCATGCTCTTGCTGCTTTTGTTACAATTCAACACGAAGGTGCCCTCATCACCTTCGATAGAGTTTGTGGAGCTCTTTGCTGGAGCTGGTGAAGCTTCTTTGGCACTACGCCAGGAGGGGCTGTCGGGATCGATGCATGACATCAATATGGCGCCTCAACACATGGACTTGTGTCAACCCACTGGGTTCTTGCGACTTGGCCTGTAGTGTCTGGCAGTCTTCAGCTTTTCTTGTGCCTTTTTTGTGGATTAACTTTCAATATATTGCTTTCCTGGGAAGGTCAAAAGATTTGGAGTTTATGTCATAATATGTCTTGGTGCGAACTGTTGCTCTCCCAGGGTGGCCTTGAATGAGCTCCGTCGAGCAGAGCCTGGAAGTCTGTGCATCTTTGCTCTATGCTGCACGTCCTTTTCGCGAATGACCCATGACCTATTCTTGGCATATGTTTGGATTGTGTTATTCAACTGTGGTGTAGACCAAAGCTATATAGGTGTTTGATGGAATGGGATACTTACCACCTTCTGGGGTGCCTGGCTGGACTGGCTGCTGTTGTTATGGACGCAGTCAGGAGCCGTGCAACGGCAGGGAGGTCAATTCTATTTCCGCTGGGCCACATAGAGTTTCAGTTCGTTGAGATTGGAAACCTGCTGTCTGCAAGATTGATCTTGATGTTGTTCATTTGCTCCTGGAAGGGGCTGAGGTGGATCATTGAGCAGCCAGAGGGATCGGCGTTTCCACTACAACCACGCTGGCAGCAATTCTTGAAATTGGCCAGTGCTTCTTGTCGTTTAATGGCTACGCGCCAGTCAAAGGTTCAAGTAATAATGAGCTTTTAGCCTGGCATCAAAAACCACACTATACACAAGAAACCACATGTTGTGCTAGGTTTGGTCTACATCTTTTTGGATGGGCAAGTTTGGTGGGCCAACAGCCAAACGACATCGGATCTGGTCGAACGACCAAAATCTCCTCTATGCCATCCATGACGAAGCTGGCTCCATGACCAAGAAGGAAATGGCGATGCTTCCTGGCGGTCCGCTGGTGACAAAATATCAAGACCGGCATGGTCTGCAGCGCTGCACGGGAATCAAGGACAAGCTCAAGGCGAGTCAGATACTGGGCAGGACATAATTTGTCTAGGTAGTATAAATCTCCTGGCAACCTTGCCAACTTGAGGTCTTGTCCTCATATGTTTTCCCGACATAGGGTTTTCAATGTTTGTACAAACATAGAAGACAAGATATGATGGACTGTTTCAAACTCTCTCTCTCTATATATATATATGATGGATCGTTTGGAAAGTTGCCATCTAAGGACATACACCCCTGCTTTTGGAAAGAAGCTGGCTCAACTGGCAGTGGCACTTCGAAAGGACAGTTTTGGCCTCCAAGAACCAATCACCCCTATGA